CCATAGTGAAAAACTGATCTAAATATGACATCTGAACAAAGGGCTGTGAAAGCTTCCAATCACTTTGTTATCTATTATTAAATTGTTCCTTTGTTTTCATCTCACTTAGTTCTTTGTCTTTAGACAAAACTGTGTCTAAAATATCTCAAACAGGAGAAACCTCTTCTTTAAACTGAAATTTTGCCTGATAAAACACCTGTTTGTCATGTGTATGAAATAAAATACAGAAACATTTTTAGTAAGTAGTTGCAGGACAGATGCAAAATGCATTTCATCAAGTATAGCTTGGCGACTCTACATTAAGACTTATTTCTCTGATATGAGGAATGACTTTTTATATGTGCATATACATGTGTACATAAATATAAATGTATGTATATGTTTGTGCATAAATATAAATGTGAGCATAAATATGTATGCTAATGTGGTATTTTTATGTGAATTTAAAACTTGGGAAGGCCTATTGCTCATTTGTAGGATTTTTAAATTATTTTTTAAGTGACACAACTATTAGATTTCCAATGTTGTAAGTTGGAAATATGAGAAACATGTAAGTTGGTTAAGTATTAGAATTTAATATGAAATTTGAGTGAGTTACTATGGGTAATAATTGTCTTTAGAAATGCAATGTGTTGATAAATCTGTTGCTAGATCTGAGAATATTATTAGAACTGAGGGGAACAACTAGAGTATATTAATTCAATATTTATTTAGCACCTATCAAGTGCCAAATACAGTGCCAAATTGGAGTAGCAAACTGTAGTTGCTCTGGTTTTTAGCTGCCTGTCACATAGCTGTATTTCTTCTTTTTCTTAGCATCAGCATACTTTCTCCTTGCACAACTTCCCCTCATCTTTTGTTCCTGGCAGGCCAATGGTCATAAAACCAATGTTCTCTGAGCCCACAGTGACAGGTATTCGACTTAGATTGAAATAATTATAACCCTTGCCATAGTGATAAATTCATAGATGAGTCTATGACTCATAGAGGGATTAATCTGTAGATGTTTGGGAAAAAAGCTTTCCTTTGCTTTGAAGTTACTAATCTGAGATCACATAATCCAGGATCTTTCAGTTAGTGAAACACTCCTGGTAGTTACTGTATTAGAATTGGATTTCTATCTCTTGCAGTCAAAAGTCTGGATTAATAAAATTGTGCATACAGATTATATGTACATATTTCAACCTTTAAGTAATTCCATATATGATATGAAAAACATTGTTTGTGATATGCACACAGTGTAGTGAAACCAGAGAACAGAGAGAAACTTGGCTTAAGAGGGCTGGTGAAAGTTTCAGATTGGGTTGGTGTTAAATTGTACATGGATAGTCATCAAGGCACATGAGAGAGAAGGTCTTACTAAAACCAAAGAACTAGCATGTAAAAGCATTGAAATCAGTAAATACATGGTGTGTTTAGGGATTATATGAAATTCAATATTTCTGCTGTTCATAATGACACATGAAGTTAAAGTCTAGTTGTGGGGTGGGTGAGTTTTAACAGAATTTGAAAGGTATGTACCTGTGGAAAAATCTGCCCACACCCAGACATAACAACAATAATACTGGGAATTTAAAAAAAATCTTGATGTAATAAAGATTTTAAAAATAGTTAATATGTGAATGTTAAAAATTTCCCACCGCTTCCTAACCTTCTGTCTATGTCAGCCAGGCTCTCAGACCTTGAATATACTGACCAGAGTATTGGGTGAAGCAGGAAAGAAGTAAGCCATAAAAGGATGAATTATCAATGATATAGAGATGATTAAGGGAGCAAAAACTATATCTTAGTCAATGCAAGATGCTGTAACAAACATACCATAGATTGTGTGGTTTATAAACAATGGAATCTATTTCCCACAGTCTCAGAGGCTGGGAAGTCCAAGATCAAAGCACCAAATAATTCGGTGTCTTGTTAGAGTCTGCTTCTTGATTTATGGAAAGCCATCTTCCAGTTGTGTCCTCATGTGGTGGAAGAGGAGAACTCTGGGCTCTTCAGCCCTTTACAACAACATTAGTTCTGTTCATGATGCGAATGACCTAATCACCTCCCGAAGGTCCCAACTCTTATTACCGTGGCATTGGAGGTGAGGATTTTAACACCTCACAGTTTATTGGTGGGATGAGGAGAGTGGGAGAAGGAAGAAGTTTTGCATCTCTTCCAGAATTCAAGGTAAATATCAGGCACTTGGAATACTCAATATGTATCATCTGCTTTTCTAAAAGTCCACGATTCTGTGATACTCTTAAAATTTCTTTTGATCCATGACAAATTTTCCTCTATTTCCTGTTACTATAATTCTCCTTAACAACTTGGCAAATAGAATGGGTCAGAAAGAACAGAATTTTGACACAAGAAGAAGTACTGAGCATACTTCCCGAATTCACAGAAGAGCTTAAAGTTGTTTTTTTAGACTATGTTTCAGGTCTTCTAAGAAACTGAAATCAATAAGCTAACATCAGCAAATGTCATTGAGATAGTTAGAGAGGCATACTTAAGGTTTTTTATAGACATCTAAAACACAGATATAAAACAAAATGTAAGCTCTGTGTAATTTGTGACAATCAAGCTGGATCTAGTATTAAGCAAGGAGTAAAAACAGACAGGAAGAGAGAGCTAGCCTTCCAGAAATTTATATTATTTGTTCTTATATCTCCCACTGCTCTTAATACAATCTTATACCCATAGTAGGCACTCAGATATTTTGGGAATGAAATTTCAAAATAAAGTGGTCCCTAGTTTCACGATGACACTGATGTTTTTAATACTGACAAGAAGAATTATCTTCTGAATATCACTCAGACTTTTACAGAATGCTTTTAAATGAAATAAAAGAACATTTTTGCTACTCTATACCGGCAATTGGTACATAGAGCATCCACTCTATACCCAGTTGGGAATGAGTGGTTTTATTTAGGAAAGCTCCTGAATCAATGCTGACTCTTTATGACTTCTTTAAAAGGGAGGAACATAAAATCTCTCTGGTATTATTATTAGGGGAGGAATATTGGTGAAACAGTGCAACAGACTTTCTTTTTATGGAAAAAATAGACTTAAAATTGGAAAAATGTTTTGGGTGTTGCTGACCCTACAAAAAACTAAAATTAATTCTGAAGTAAAAATGACTCAAGTTGGACAATACTTTACAACAGTTTATTTTTCATGTTTGCAACCAGTGTTCTCATAGTCATGCTATAAATGCTTCAATAAATTATGTAAGTGCCAATATTATCACTTAAATATATAACAAGGTAGATATATTAATTTATGTCATATATGAGTGTACACTGTGTGCAGAGAAAGGTGTTAGACTTTTTAATATATGTAATGTTGTTTATTGCCTGAATAATTATATAAAGTAATTTTATTATCCACATTAAAAGAATAGAAAGCTAAGGCAGAGGAAGGTTAAGTCACTTATGTAGAACTGTAGAGCTAGTGAATTTATAGGACTGGGAATTTGAACAATGCCTGTGATTCCAAAAGCTGTATCCTTTGGTCAGTAGCCATTTATCAACCACACCATCTTTGATGACATGCACAGCAAACAAATAAACAAAATAAAATACGTAAAGCAAAATGAAAAACTATATGTAACACAATAGCCATTTTTGTTTATCTAACCAAAAAAAAGAATAAATTTTCTGAAAATAAGTTTACTGGATGTGCCAATATATAAAGCAAAAACAAAGCTACATAAACCTAAGTTTTTGACTTTTGGTACATTGCTGGGAACTTTTGTTCTGTTAGCTGACACAAAGCAAAGATCCGCAAACCTTACTTTTTGAAGTCTGAAAACAATGGGTACTAGTACGAAGGTGATATTTGGTGACTGTTTTCCATTTTTACTAGATTCTATTTTCTTCTGAACCAAAAAAGGAGTGTTTTTCAAGATATATGGCAGTCTACTTTTATTAATCCATCCTTGTATTTTAAGTGGAATCAGATTTTATAAGCTGTTGTACTGTATTTAAAATTCATGCTAAAATGCACTTCAGGTTAAGCAGTTGGAACTGTATATAGCTGGACAAGCTATATGAAAACATTGTAAATGGATATAATATATAGACTTCCCTCCTGATTTAAATTTCACAGCAAACAGAAGCCATACCATGGCAAGAAGGGTACTGATGAATAAATATCTCAGGCTTGCAGAGACTACAGTCCATTCGTTCATTTGTTCATTCATTCTCATGCACTCATTCTTTAATAAACATTTATTCAGTACCTGGTAGGTACTTGGCACTGTCATAGGCACTTAAGATACGCTAATGAACAAAATAGACTAAAATCCCTACCTCGAGCAGTGTATCCTCTGCTAATAAAATGTCTTAAACATGCCAAACTCCTGTTTAACATATGTAGACCAGGGTTCAGCACACTTTTTCTGTAAAACACCAGTAATAAATATTTTAAGCTTTGTGGGTCATACAGTATCTATTGTAACCACTCAGCTGTCATTGCAATGTGAAAGCAGCAACAGGCAATATGTAAGCAAAATGCAACTACGTTCCAGTAAAACTTTATTTACAAAAATAGTCAGTGAACCTAGACAATATATGATATCATCTAGGCCTCTGACTCTGATAACTTGGAAAAAGCAGACACAGAAAGCTATATAATGTGAGAAGTTCCTTTAGGAATTAATCCAGTAAACTCCTTTATGTGGTGGATGAATTAAATAAAGTCCTGAGAGGAAGAGTGATTAGCTTAAGGTAATGAAGTAAACTAATGGCAAAACCAACACGTGAACCTATAGTTCCCAATTTCTAATGTATTTTCTTTCTACTCTACTATAGTGCCTTTTACTGGAAGTGATAGGACTTATTATAATATTGTTGTATATATTTTGTGTGTGTGTGTGTGTGTGTGTGTGTATATATAAAAAATATATAACATTCTCTCTGGTGTCCTGGGGTCCAGATACTATGAGAGTTAAAAACTCAGCCATGCACTACTACTTCTATCACTGCCACATCCACCACTGCCTCTACCATTACCTTCACCACCATCTCTACATCCACCATGATCACCACCACCTCGCTCTCCACCCAAGACTACCACCTCTACCTCCACCTTCATAACCACACCCTCCACCTGTACCACCACCATCACTACCTCCACCTCTACCGCCACCACCCCAACCACCTCCACCAACATAACCACCACTACCACCACCACCACCACCTCACCTCCACCTGCATCAACACCACTTCTACCATCATCACCAATACCAACGTCACCACTGCCTCCCACATCTACCGCCACCACCTCTGCCTGTACCTACCATCACCGTTACTACCACCATCTCTACCTCCATCACGGTCACCACCATCACAACCACTACCACGTCCACCACAATCTTCTCTGCCTCCACCACCACCAACGCCACCACCACTTCTACCACTATCATCATCAGCACTTCCATCACTATCACTACTATCACCTCCATCCCACCATCATGACCTCCACGACTGCCTCCATCATCACCATCACCATCACCATCACCATCACCATCACCATCACCATCATTATACTACCAGAAACAACCAAAGACCACCAGAAACACACCCACACTCACAAAGCTGGGTTTATTTATCTTGGCACAGCAGGGTCTGAGAATCTCAAGTGTAGGAATAAAAGGACCTCAGTAAAGGAGTGTTGCGAGCAGCTTCTTACAGGGTTTGTGTTTGTGCTGATGCCTCTAAGAATGAATTTTATAAAGGAGAGACACATTCTGAATTGGGTACTATAAAAAAACAGAGAGCTGGGCGACTGGATTTCTTTCTTTTTCTTAAATGTATTTTTTTCCATTACCATTCAGTCCCCTTATCCCCCTGGCCCTGCCACCGCAATCACAACACTGTTTGTTAGAGTCGTTGCAATCTCCCAGGCCGGAAGATGAGCAACTAGCCATTTTGGTGGTCGTGAGTGGCCTTGTCACTATTTTATTTCAAACATCTGTTTTTTACTTTTTTGCTCACATTTTCTTATTTCAATAACAATACAGGTTTACTGTGGAAAAATTATAAAATTCAGATAGGAGAAAGAAGAAAATTAAATCCAACATCCAGAGATAATCATAAAGAACAACAGAGTGTATAGAAAGGCACATGCATACATTTGCGCAGAAAATGGGACTACACTGTACATTCCAGTTTAAACAAACTTTTTTACTTAATAAATAATGAGCAGCCTTGGCTGATGTGGCTCAGTGGATTGAGCACTGGTCTGTGAACCAAAGCGTCGCTGGTTGGATTCCCAGTCAAGGCACATGCCTGCATTGCGGGCCAGGTCCCCAGTTGGGGGTGTGTGAGAGGCAACCACACATTGATGTTTCTCTTCCTCTTTCTCCTTCCCTTCCCCTCTCTCTAAAAATAAATAAATAAAGTCTTTAAAAAATAATAATGAGAAAATTTTCCTAAAAATATTATAATTTTTATGGTCTGAAAGATATTTCAATGTGTGATTATGTCATAATTTACCTAACCATTTATTTTTTATTACTTATTTAGAAGATGATTTTCAGTTTTTTGCTCTTTAAAAACATTTGCAAATCCTTGTGTACATTCTAAATATTTTTCTTGGGATTAATTCCTAGAAATAAGACTGTTAGATCAGAGTATACACATATTTTTAAAGCTTAAAAAATCTTATTAAATTGCCACGAGGAAATTTGTATAAATTTTTGCTCACACATGTCATATATAAAAATATTCCTACCCCACCCCATCCCATTTTATTTAAAACTGACTCCAGCATAATGTCCTAAGAGCAAAATTTTGCTTAGTTCTTGTTATGTACAATTCATTTACATTTCCAGCCAGTTCAATAAACTCTTACAGAATATACATATGGGTCAGTCACTGTTCTAGGCACTGCATATACAATGGTAAATAATCCATGATTTTCCATGAGGTCAGCATCTTGTCACATGGCCATCAATTGCTTTTATAGGAAAAAAAATGAGAAGATAGGTAAATCTGGTTGGATGAGCTTTTATTGGAGGAAAATTGCATTTATTTTATGACACCTATTGCAATCAACATTTTTCTCCAAATATTTAAGAGCTACATTTGAGATAAGTTAATATAACTTTTGTCTGATGCATTCTTACCACAAATATTTTTAGATTCCTAGGTGTCTATTAGTGATCACCAAAAAGTGCTTTTACTGGCTCAGGGACAAACACTAAACTAATTATTCTGGACAAAAAAAAAAAAAAAAAAAGTGTTGGATTTAAGTCCTATATGTTTTTTGCTCTACTGTTTACTTAGGCCCATATGTCAAATTGCTACCGAAAGAAATAGCAGCACAAGTATTAGTATGTGAGACAGCATAGGATATCTTAAAAATAAACTTCATTTTTAAGTATTAAGGCAAAGACAATTTTTTTTCTTAAATTTTATTTTCTGCCTTATTTCCTGAAATTGGTGAGTAGATCCATTATTAATCTGACTCTTGTTTTCTACTAAATAAGAGTAAGCTTGGACAGTATGAAACTGTCTTGAAATTGAATCAAATGTGTGTGCTTTCCATTTCACTGCACCTTATTTTTTCAACTCAGTGCGTGCCAGTAAATACGAATCAACTTTTCTGTTAACAGCGGTAGTTATTTTTTAATTGAAATACTCTCGTAAAGGTTTATATTTTACAAAGAGAATTTCATTTGACATTTTTTTATATTCAGAAGTGAAATATGTTCACTAATTCACACTTAGATTCTTTTTTTCAAAAATTTCATGTTTTTTGAATACAGTTCATTTCTTTCACATAAAATTTGCTTAAGCTATAATAACCTGTTTTCAAACCAAAACACGATAATAACTATAATTTGTATTTTTATAGGTAGTTTATTTTTCAAAGTAGCATTGATTCATTCTACAAATATTTAAGTTTAAAATGAAACAGAAAATGCACTTAGCATATGAAACATTATTCATTTGACATACTTTCATTGTGCCCACATTGTTCTAAAGTAATGCCCTATACTGTATATTCATCAATTTTAACAAAAATAAGTGTTAATATATCCATAAAATTATAATCATACATAACATATAATTTCTTCTTCTTTTTTATTTTTATGATTTTTAAATTGCTATTTTATAAATTTCAGTGATAATAGAAGTTATTATTGGCCATCCTGAATTTTAAATATGCTAATAAATTAATTGAATTGATTTTGTTGTTTTTGTGTAACTTTCCAAGTTTTCTGCGTATAGAGTGGTAAAAGTTCAAAGATCTTGATTTGAATCATTACTGAGACAATTATGAATGGCATTAATTGTTTCATTTTGGTATTTCTATTTTGCAAATGAAGTTAGTTTGAGGTAACTTGTACCCTCTGTTATTCTTTCAGTTACTCATTTCGACTTAACAAAGGCTTATCGAAAGACTGCCCTGCGCATGGTGTTCTGTGGGAGAGACCCATGCTTTCCATACGTTTATGGAAGACCCATCTTTTGGCAAAATAAATCTTTCTCTCTCCCTCTTCCATCTTTTTTTTAAGTCTTTTTTTAAATTGTTATTCTATTACAGTTGTCCCAACTTTTCCCCCTTTGTTTTCCTCCACTCATCCCACACTGTTGTCCATGTCCATGGGGCCTTCATACATGTTCTTTGTCTAGTCTCTTCCTATTCTTTCCACCATTTTCCCCCCTCACACCTCCCCTCTGGTCACTTTCAGTCTGTTCCATGTTTTCATTTCTTTATACACACTTAGTTTATTGTGCAAAGTAAATTTAGATGATCACTTATTTTTCTCTTTTAAAAGGTTTAATTCACAATAAACTGTATTTTTTTGTTTAGTGTATTCTACTGTAGGTCTCACTAATATGTAAAATCTTGTGTTTACCACCACATCAAGACATAAAATTTTATCACCAAAACACAAAAAACCCTCAAACAACTTTCTTGTGCTGCCTCTAAGCCCTGGAAATTTCTGTTTTCTGACAGATTGTTGTTGCCTTTTCCAGAATGTCACATAAATGAAATCAGTGTGTTGTCTTTGGGTTTGTCTTCTTTTATTCAGCATAATGCATTTTGAATTTATTTATGCTGTTCCACACATAGGTATTTCATCCCTTTTTATCACTGAGTAGTTTTGCATTGAATATATGTACAATAGTTTTTACCAATTGAGGGACATTTTGATTGTTTCCAATTTTTAAGTAATTATGAATAAAATACTTTCAAATATTAGCTTACAGCTGTTTTTGTAAGTTTAAGTTTTTGTATTTTTTTATGTAAATAGCTATAAGTGGAATTGCTGGGTCATGTGGCAAGTGTATGTTTGACTTTACAAGAAACAAACTGTCTTCCAAAGTGGCCGTACCATTTTGCCTTCCCACCAACAATGTGTGAGGGTTCCAGTTGCTCCACATCCTTGCCAGACTTGATATTGTTAGTAGTTTTGTTTTCAGTTATTCAAATAGATGTGCTATGGTATCAATGTGATTTTTTAAAATCCTCATCCAAGGACATGCTTATTGATTTTAGAGAGAGGGGAAGGAGGGAGAAAGAGAGGGAGAGAAAGATTGAGGAAAGAGAGAAACATGGATTGGTTGCCTCTTGCAGGTGCCCAGACAGGGGACCAAATCCACAATGTAGGCATGTACCCTGACTGAGAACTGAACCCGTGACATTTCAGTGATGGGATGATGCCCCAATCAAGTGAGCCACACCTGCCAGGCCTCTCAGTGTGATTTTAATTCTTGTTTTTCTAATGAGCAATGATGCCAAGCTTATTTTTCACTCGTATATGTTCTTTGAAGTGTCTATTCAAATCTTTTGCCCATTTTTAAGCTGGATATTTTTTTAATGTTGAATTTTTAGAATACTTTACATATTCTGGATACTAGCTCTTTTTGTCGGATATGTGATTTGTAAATAAATTCTTTAACTATGGCTTGAATTTTTATTCTCTTAAAGTATCTTTCACAGATTAAAAGTTTATTGGCAAAGCCCAGTTTAGCTATTTTTATTTTATGGTTCATGCTTTTGGTGTTAAGTCTCATAACTCTGTCTAATCCAAGATTTCTAAAATTTTCACTTATTCTTAAGGATGTTTTTTAGGGTGACATAACATTCAAGCAAATCTTCCTGTTCTTTTGGAGCCTCGAACACTGAATCTAATATCTAGATTTCCTCAATTCTGTGACTATACCTCCAAGTGAGTGTGTTTTGTAAATTCTAGTGTGCTAAGACTTTTTAGTTATGTCATCTTCCATGGGTAAATTTACCTCTGTGGGCCCATTTTCTTTATGTAAAAAACTATGTAAACATAAAACTATGCAAAGATATGACCACAACCTTGTTCCTCACCTCTGAAATTCCTTGCACTTCTGTTCTTGTAGCATAGTTGAATAAAACATGGTGCTTAAGAGCTCTGGGGCCACACAAGTCTGCCTTCAGATAAATCTGGCTCTGGCACTTAGTAGCTAAGAGAAT